CTTCTCTAACGAAGACTACTCCCGGACATCATTGTAATGTAGGGTAAATAACCCCTGCCTTGAGGGCAATTGTGGAGACCTAATGGAATTACAGGAAGCAATTGGCCCAAGTGTTAGAGCACTTTGGCTAGCCCATGGCTGCTGGTTACAGTTGCGCAAGCTGCACACTGCATAACTCCACGTTGGTTCACCCTTTAGCCATCAGAGATTATATCTTATTACAATTTTCTGGCAGAGGCCCATCAAGTATCAACGTAGGGACTGACAGCAGGGTTGGTGCCACCCAGGCAGATGTCAAGCCCTCTCTTCTCAGAATATCAAGGCCTGCTCCCACTTTGCCATAAGCATCTTCGAAGCTGGAGACCAGGGGCTCGTTATCCACAGTCCCCCTGCCAGAATGACCCACGTCTCATCCCTGCACCTTGGTGACCTGGTGTCCTGCCGGGTCTTTCTAGTGCCTCAGGCTGGACCTCAGCAAGGGATGGAGGGACATCCAGGGACCTTCAAACCAGGTCACTGTGCAAAGGGGGAAAAAGGAGGGAGGAAAGCCCCCAGAGAACCTCAAAGTCAGCTTCAGGCTCTGTCTTTTCAGGTGCTAATTTAGGAGAGTTTAAAGGAGGTTGCCTAAAAAGAAGCAACAACTGGATACAATGATGGCCAGAATCTAGCAACATAACAATGGAACACAGAAAATAGTTTTCGAAACCTGATGTGTGAAAATAACGTAACACATAATTTACAATTATGGTCATTTTAACAAATGCCTTATGAATCCATAACCCTACTGTATGTATATCATTAAAGAAATCATGTCAACTTTGAAATTCCTTGAAAGGAATACTACATTGCTAGCTCCTTTGGACATAAAGTAAACCTTAGAATTCGTTGCTTGTGTGGCAGAGGTGCTTGTAACTTAAGAGAGAAAGAAAATGGATGGTGATCTAAGAATATTCTTAAGTTGACCATTGAACGAATCAGGGGTTATGAACACCAACCCTCCGCGTAGTCGAAAATCGTGTATAGTTATGTATGTATTCATAAGTGGAAAGGCTTGCTGATTTAATGTTGAAATAAGCACCACGGTTAGTCAGAGCCACCTGCTGGCACCATAGGGTACTGCAGTCCAGCTATATTTCGGATTGAGTGAATTGAATAGTCATCAGGAAAAACCCCATCCAAGAAGAGACGGGAAATTCCTGAGGTGGAGAGAGAGATATAAACGTTGTATGGGTTGACAGTGGACAAACAATGCCACAGTCAAGAAGGTGCCACAGGGATTCCAGTCTCTTACAACTAACATGAAAATTGCCTCACTTTGTCTTTTGGGCACTACAGTTTCCATAAGGAAAATATCAATTATGTATTAAATACCCAGAATGCCTTATTATTACCCCTTCCTCACTGTTAATGTTCAGTGTTATTCCTTCGGGATATCCTCTCACCCGAATCAGTTTTATAATGGGATGGAAAAGTTTCACTTTTCAGAAGTTTATTTTAGTTGGCTGTTAGAACACATCTCTCTCCCAAAAAGCAAGAAATCCTTGAATTGGATCAACTTCATTGTCACACTCCTTTTATTCTCGACTATATGATACCCCCATACCATCTTAGCCATTGCTTTTTCTTTTCTACTTCTTTTTTATTTTCTNTCCTTGAGGGATTTCCAAGCTACAGATGAGCATAAGTGGCAGAGTATGTAGAGAATGGGGCCCTGGTTTGTCAAACACTCAGCCCAGTGCCTGGCACACAGCTGGCACTCACTAAATGCTGGATAATATGCTTATTATGCGCCCCTCTGCCCTGTCCCTCCAGCACTTTCCTGCCGGGCCTCGTGGGCTGGATCAATTGCTTCTTCTTCTGGCTCCTGTTCGCCAGGAAGAAAGAGAGCAGCAACCTCAGCTACAAGATCTTCACCTATGAGTGTCGTTTCAAGCAGCATGTCCAGGACTGGGCCATCCCCAGGTAGGGACTGTGGGGGCCGGGCTGGGGATAGGTCAGTGCCAAAGAAACTTCCTTGGGTTCTCACCACAGCCCTAGCACACAGACAGCCAACCAGGCTCCCAGTCCTACTCATTATTTGTGGGAGGGCGAACCGGAGGCCCTGGGTCTCCTTCCGGTGCAAATGCTCCAGGCCATTCTGCCTCTCGGGGAAAGCCAGTTATGGAATCCCCCACCCCATTCTCCCCATCAGCCCCTCTCCAGCCATGAGACCAGCTCACGGCAGACTTGGGCTTGGAGCGTGTGGTTTCCTGCCAAGCTTCTTATTCTTCTGAAAGACTGCTCCCTATCTCAGGACTGCAGTCAGCAGAGCCCACCCAGCATGCTGGGTGCTGTTACTCTGCATTGGGAGGACCCCCAGCAAGAACCTAGGTTAGGTCTGTAGCCCCAGCTCACTGTAGCTTTCTCTCCCTTTTTGTTTCTCTCCAGGAAAATTAGGGGGCGGGGGGCGCCAGTGCTTAGGGAATGCCTTTGTCACTGTGTTCAAAGGCTGGGGCCACCAGACTCTCCGGGTGGGAATACTAGACAAAGTAATAGTATTAGAATCAGAGTGACTTGACTCTGTCTGAAAAAGAGGAGGCCAAGGCTGTGGGACAGCTGTGGCCAGAGACCTGAAGGGAGCCCCTGATTGGGCGGGGCCTGAGGGCTGAGCCAGGAGCAGTAGGTAGATCTCCAGGGGCACATTCACAGGCTTTGCTTCCCTGGGGAGGACTTTGAGAGAAGCCATGAGCAGTAGGCCTCCTCAGGAGCTGC